ATTTTGGTGAAGACTGTGGCTGCTTTTTGCCCTTGTCTGAAGAGTCTTCCTGATGCTAAATTTGAGAATTTTGGATTAATTGTGTTTGCAGAGGAAATTTCAAAACACTCTAGTGTTGACTGTCTCATATGGTTACTACTGGCCAATCTTATGCAGATCTATAATGAAAAGGAGCAAGCCAGTAAACAGCCCCCTTCAAAAGCCTCTGTATCAGCTCCTGCCTCCAAGTTCCTTCCTTGAGTTCCTGAACTGACTTCCTTCACCGATGAACAGCAATGTGGAAGTATAAGTCAAATAAAGGCTTTCCCGCCCCCAAATTGCTTTTTAGTCATGGTGTTTCACTGTAGTAATAGAAACCCTAACTAAGACAGGTACCAAAGCACTGGAAACGAAGGTGGACTGCATTACCTTTGTTCCATATGTGCCTCAGGTACTTTCCTCAGGTACCTTCCTTTTTCTTTACTAAGTCTGCTCTATGGTCTTAGCTTCTCTCTCCTTTTGCACACACTGTCCACACTGTTGTCAGTGATTATTCTAGAACTCAGATTCAACTGCATAATTTGGGGTTACCCCATCAAGAACATCCTACTACCTAGGGATAAAATCCTTTCCACAGGCATTCAAGGTGTTTGATAGTGGTACCCAAATGCATCCTTCCAGGCTCAACTCTGCTATTTCCCTTCCACACCCCTCCAACACTCCATAAGCCCCACCTGCCCCTCCCTGGATGCACTGTTTCTTTCCCTATCTTTGTATATGCTAGGCCCTTGGCCTGGAAAGTGGCTTCCCCATTTCCACACAGGAATGTCTTCTGTATACCTTCCTGTGTCTAAAGCAAATATTTCTCTATTGAATATTGCAGGCTCAACTGTTGCTACTGGGGCTCTCAGATCTGCATAGACATCTGCAGTTTTGTTTTCCTTCACTGGCTCCAAGAAAGATCAGGTGTTCTGGTTAGCTTCATTGACCCTGACACCTAGTGTACACCAGGTACCACATAAGGAACTCTCGAAGCTGAGGTCGGCGTCAGTGGGTGAGACAGGTGTGACCTTTGTTTCACTTTGCTGCTTTCCTTAACTAGAAGATTGCTCCACTAACCTGTCCCTGAAAGTTGTTCTTGTCAAAGAGTTAAATTACAGGTCCAGGGATGTAGCTCAGTTGGTACAGTACTTGCCTAGCATGCATGGAGCCCTGGGTTCCATCACAGCATAGGTAACAACTACAACAACAGATTGGGTATGGAGACTTAGGGCTGAAATCCTAGTACTCTAGAGCTGCAAGTACAAGGAGCAGATGATCAAGGTCACCTCAGCTACAAAGGGGATTCCAGCCTAGCCTGAGATACAGGAGCCACTGCCTAAGGAAGGCCAGAATAAAGAGAAGGAAGAAGGAGCGAGGGAGGAAAGAGTCAAATTGCACTTCTTCTCTGTCACATATTGTTGAGTTTTCCTCTGTGAAGTTTGTTGCCTGTTTATCATATGCAGAGTAATTGCGAATGACACAGTTGAGTATGCTAAAAATAAGACATTAAGTGCATGCCAAGGGCAAATAAACAAAGGAGGAATGCATGCCATTGGACCGTTCCCAGGTGACTGTTCTAATGACAGTTTGCTCCTAATGTATGCCATGACCCTTCTCTGCTCAACCCTTTAAGTGCAAATAATTGCAGGCTGTCCAAACATTTGAAACCACTATAACCTTCAAGTGCACAGTGAAGAAGATGTAGAAAGAGCACTGGCCTCCAAAGGAGAAAACTTCAATCCTGAATGGTTTAAGGAAAGGAAAAAGGAGTTTATATAAAGCTTGCTAAGGAAACAGGAAGTTACAAAAAAAAAAAAAACTGTGATATGGAAGACCATAAAGAGAAATGCTGACCCAGGAAAGAGGGATCTGAAAACTTAAAGGGAAACGTTGGATACAAATGTACCACCATCACTGATGAGAGAGGTTTTGTAAAATTTTTATTTTTTTTGCTTTTAAGCCAATGCTAAAAAAGTTAGAGCTGAACTCATTGTGATTCTGTAAGACAAGCTTGCCTGATTGGGCAGGGGCATGATTATTCGCTCTACTGGAATTGCTTTAATGGGGCCTCCTTGATGAAAACAACATCTTAAAATACTCACCCAGTGATGAGAAGTTATTTCAAGATGTGAACCAAGGCCGCAGTTGCTGTGGGGTTAGTGAGCAAAGCACGCCTCCTTGTTCAGCCTGTTCAGCTGAACCAGATGAACAACAAGCTGACAACTGTCCCCACCAGCCTTTCTGGACAGCTGGGTCCCGCCCAAGAGGCATACTGGAGCCCATAGGCAACTAGCAAATCTATGAATGTCATCCAGGTTAAGAGGCAAGTCAGAGCACCATGAGATGCTCCGGAGCCTTGGCTTTGGTCATACCACCCCACTGGCTCACACAGAGTGCTCCCCTGACTCTACCACGCCACGTCCTTTCCAGTTCCTTCTCTTTCCTCTGCAGCTTATTGACCCAAGTTGGTCCTCCAGCCCTATTTCTATGTTCACAAAAAGAAACCCTTGAAGGGCAACTCACAAGATAGAGATAAAACATTTCAACCACTCAAGTCAGCTGTCCCTTCTCCAAGACACACCTCAGCTGTCCCTTCCTTTAGTCCCTTTATTGAATTCTCCAAGACAGCCAAATACCACTTATTCTGGGTCCAAACAGTGCTTCTAATGTTTGTTATCATATATTTTTCTTCTTACTTCTATAATCGTTGGTAAATAATACCCGCAGGTACCTATAAAGCAAGGACTCCAGAATTACTCCATATTTTTATGGAATGGATGCAAGAGGATTGTGAGAAATAAAATTTGTCTGTGGACATCCATTAAGAGACAAAAGCCAGACACATTGAATGGCAGGACTTTCTGATGTGAAACTTGGATTTGGGCCGAGTCTGGGTGAAGACCACCCGACCCACATAAACAGGCAGGCTGGATGGCTGCGTTTTGTTTCTAGTGGCTTATCATTGACATACTTGTTGATATTAAGACTCCCACTGCAAAGTCAATAGCCTCATCCAATTGTTGCCAGACATTTTCCCTTGAAGCATGTATTAAACTGGCCACCAGGGAGCTGCAGAATTAATGGAGCTGAAGAAAGCATTTTGGATTTGTGATGATTTGGATTAAAATTTAATTGGAGTTTGAGATGGAATGTGTGGGAAGCTACTAAGGTTAGTCTTCAACAACAAAGAAGAAACACATATTCTGTTGTATATGAAGCCATTTATTTGTTTACCCATATTTACATTCACCCACTGTATCCAGACTCCTCTTGCATTTCCTATGTAGCACAGGGGTCTCTGTTTCTTTAAAGAGAACCAGGGCTGGGAAGATGGCTCTTGGGAAATGTACCTGCAAGCATGAAGCCCTCAGTTCAGATCCCAAGATCCCATGTAAAAAGTCATCTAGCAAGGTGTGTACCCACAACCCCAGGGCTGGGGGATTGGAGACAGGCCCCAGGAACATTGGAAAGACAATCTACCTCGTCCCTGCTCTCTGGGTTCAGTGAAAGACCCTATCTTGAAAAATTATGTGGGAAGCTAAGCATAGTGGCACATGCCTTTAATCCTAGCAGTTGGCAGATAGAGGCCGGTGGCAGACACAGGCAGGCAGATCTCTTGAGATCAAGGCTGGCCTGGTCAACATAGAGAGTACCAGGATAGGCAGGGCTACTACATAGGGAAACCCTGTCTCAGAAAAGGAAAAGGAGGAATAGGTGGTGGAGAGCAATTGAGAAACGACCTCTGACTCCAAGCATGTGTATATGTACCCCAGTTTCAAACAAGTGCACACAAGAAGTATGACACACACACCGGAGGGGGTCACTAATTACATAATTAACACTGGGGGGAAGACCTTTGCTCTGAGATCCCAGCAAGCTCTCAGGATAGTGCTTGACATCGCGTGTGAGTAGTGATGAGCATGCACCATATTGAACTGGGAATCTTAAAACAACTCATTTAATACAACACACCGAGAAAGACCAGAACATTTCACTGATCAAAGGGAGGGGAGGTAGGGCCCTGCCATTGTGTGAACAGAAAGGACCATATTGCATAACTACAGTTTAAAAGACAACGCAATGCTTTGGGTCTTACAGCTGCTATCTGCTGAGGAGAGTCTAGAACACAGCCAATGTGTTGGGATGAGCACAGGGAATTTCAGGGGAAGGAGTTACGGGAAAGTGCCAGAGCTTGCAACTGTCCCTCACTTAAGACTAGTGCGAAGGAAGTGGTTAGTTCGGTAATAAGAGCTCTTCCGGAAGAGGAGATGGAATAACAAGCATGACTTCACCTCCAGTTCACAGGTGTTACAGCAGGAAATGCCATGGGATGCATGAGCTTTTCTTCAGGTGACAGGAGCCATAGTTTAAGAGCAAAGTCCTGAGTTTTGAGTAGGAAACAGAATGCCAGGAATGTCTGGAGTAATATAAAGTGGAATGCAATGGAGTCAGTTTTTTAAGAAAGTACTCATGCAATGGTCCCTTCATCCAAGCGGGAGAGGGAAAACAGGGCCGCACGCGTGTGTCCCTGATATTTAAAGCCACACTAAGTCACTCTGACCACACCCCAAGTGGGCGTGGTCAGTGGCACCTGTGTCAGCCCCCAAGTGGGCGTGGACAGCATTTTCCCCCTACAGTAATGTGTATATTGTATGTGTCTGTGAGTATATGTGTGTACAATTTCATGAGATGGCCAGAAGAGGGCATCCAATCACTTGGTCCTGGAGTTACAGGCTGTTATTAGCTGCTCCATGTGGGTGTTGGGAACTGAACTTAGTTCCTCTACAAAAACAGTATGAGCTCCTCACTACTGAGTCATCTTTCCAACCCAAAGGCCCATATTCTTATTGTCTAAATGCTTGGAAGTCGTAAGTCAAGTTCACTAGCTGGTGAGTTAAATATATCCTACTTTCTTGCCTTGGATACCATATAGTCAGAGTAGTCTGGTCAAAACACTTACAGGTTTTGACCTTCTTTGCAAGAACATGACAGCTTAGGAAGAACAGAAGTGTCAGTCCCTAATTCACCTGTGATCTGCTCCAGACACTTTCTGTATTCAAGTGTTTGGATACACCAGAAGCAGGCCAAAAGTTCTGCCCACACTTCCACAAACACTGCTCTTTGGTCATCCTAGCTGATAGGAGCATCTATATTCAGGAGGCTGGAGATGGGAAAGACACAAGAAGTTGATATCTAATATCCAGAGGATGTCTCTTTGTGGGACTGGGAGTGAGAAGTTCAGAGGAACAGAGGCTCCAAGGAAATATGTCTCCTGGGCCTAAGGGCTCTTCACTCTGTACTAAAGGGCAGGCCCACAGAAGGGACAGCATTGGATGCTCTAGTCTAAGAGAAGGGATATGTACAAAAATCATACATAAAAATAACAGAATAAAAAGGTGACATGAACTAAGCTTGAAGGCTTTCCTCCTACTGGATCATGAGAGGGTAGACTGAGTGATAGTTTCTGAGGATGGAGAGGAAAGGGGACTACAGACACAGACATAGAGGGACACAGACAAGGCAATGCAAGTATTTGTATCATGGTGGACTGGAGAGCTATTCTGTGCTGCTCACAGATGTGAGATGTGGCAATATGTTGTTAGTTGACTTAGGAGGGGGCCTCCCTGGAAGAATCTGGGGCAGCTAACCTAAAGCCCACATGGACCAGTGCTCTGAATGGAAAATACAGAGAATAGCATTGGGTTCATGTGGCTTCCATGGACTCATCAGAGACGAAATAATGGAGAATTGGGTAACACAACACAGACTTTGAACAAACACACTCACATGCGGCATCCAGACCTCTCGTATATCCTCCTCCTCCCTCTCAGATCCACCACTGGAGTTCACATCTCCGCCCTGTCCCAAAGGGTTTCTGAGTTCCTTGCCCTATTTTTAAGCTGTTTTAGATTTTTCAAACTCATACAAAAATGGAGTGTATTTGATAATAAGCTTCATTGTGCTCATCACCTTGCTTCAATAATTACAAGAAGAGGTTGCTGAATTATTCATATAGTCAATTTGTTTTCCCTGTAACATTTTAAGTGAATCCTAGCCAACACACTACCATACACCAAAACACATAATGGGCTTCCTTTTTCCTCTTTTTAAAATTGTATTTGTGTGTGTGTGTGTGTGTGTGTGAGAGAGAGAGAGATAGAGAGAGAGAGAGAGAGAGAGAGAGAGAAGTAGAGGTCATGGAACAGCTTGCTGGAGTCATCTCTCCTACCATGTAGGTTCTGGGGAACTGAAATCTGGTGGTCAGATAGCAGCAGGCACCTATACCAATCGAACCCTCTTTGTGGCTGCTCTTCAGTCATTTAAAACCCACATAAACATCAGCATATCTGGAGGCTAAAACCTATTTCTGGCATTCCCTTCCATTATTGTATCTAACACCACTCCTTCGTATCATTGAGTATTAAGCCCACATTCATTTTCCCCTGATCATCCAAGACTTCTCTCTTAACACTCAGTTACTTGGAATCAAGGTCAGCGAGGCTCCGACCTGAATCTGGCAGGAAGGAAAGCAAGGACAGAACCTCACATATGGTTCAAGTGTCAGGAGCTCAACAGTCAGAGCCACAAGGTCAAAGTGATGTGGCTTGGGCTGCTGGAGTCTGGCCTCTGGTGAATGAAGTCCCAGTAAGAGCTGTGGGCAGCTAGGCCCCTGCTGAGCCACAACTGATCTGTGATGAAAGCAGCTCCCTACTTTCTGGAACTGCCTCCGCTCTTTTCGACCTAACTCAAGCTGTGTATGGTGAAAGAGCAGAGGGTAGAGACTGGTAGACTGTATGCTGTCTGTCTCCACTTGGCTGGGTGGCTTGGGGCAAGTCTCTCATCTGTTTCCAAAGAGGGGAAACTCAAATATCCTTCAGTTCTCCACCCTAGCTCTGACCGCTTAGTATCAAAAGATAGTAGTGGCAACTATGTTCTGCTGCTAGGATCATTCATTGCCTTTTCATTTTTTATTTTTTAGGATTTTTGAGACAGGGTTTCTCTGTAAAACAGTCCTGATTGTCCTGGAACTCACTCTGTAGACAAGGTTGGCCTCCAACTCTGCCTGCCACTGCCTCTTAAGTGTTGGGATTAACGGCATGCACCACCACTGCCCGGCTGGATCATTGTCTTTTAAAATCACCAGACTCTAACACGGTGGGAATCACATAGTCAGCACTTAATAAACAATGCCAGGTGACTCTCCAATACAATCATCAATGCCAGAGCATCAATTCCCCAATGATCCAGGCACAATGCCAATCCAGGGACCTCAAGCCTTTCCCTGGAGAACCTACACTTTAAACAAAGCTGTGGAGTGCAGAGGGAAGTTCTCTAACGTAAGAGAAGTGGCTATCGGTCCTAACGGTTCAGACCTGAGATAAAGACATGGAGCCAGGAACTGTAGTCCATGGTTTTCCTGCTTCTCTAATTGAACCCCGACATCAGTTAAACCTAATTGCCAATCCCCACAACTGTCCTAACATCAATGCTTCAGGCAGATCTATGCCTGCACAAAGTCCACCAAGGACAGCATGTCCCAAATAGTACCCAGAGCTCTTTCAAGGGTCTGGGCTCCTCAAGGAAAGGTCACAGGAAGGATGCTGACTGCTACCTGTTCCTCATGAACTCAGCTAATGGTATTTCCTGAAGACAGCTAAAGATCCAACCAGCACAGCTGCACAGTTCAAACTGTCAATGGGCCAAGGCCACAGGCTGGAAGACAGGTCTCTCTCTCTTCCTCCCCTCCCTTCAGGTAAGAACTGGGAGCCACTGAAGGATGGGATAGCCACTGAAGGTTGTGGTCCTCTTCCTGGCTGTGTTGCATTACAACCAAGGTCTCTTATAGTCTTTGGGTAAGACAAGGATTTCTTGACTTCACAAAACTGGAAAGGTTCTGAGTCGCAGCCCAGAACTTAGCCATCCATCGCCAAGCCCACATCTGAGAGAAAATGGTTTTGTGCTGTACCTAAGGGCCAACAGAAACACAGCTTCAGAACAAAGAAAATGACAACAAACACTTCCAGGAAGTTTCCCAGGAAAACAGAACCCAAATCCCTGTCTCAATAGCCAAATAACACCAAGATCCCTTCTCTCTTATGGTACACCTCAAGCTAATTAATTGCATAGGATGGGCCATCCCCAAAGATGTCACCAGTGTATAATTTTAGGACTGAAGGCAACCTGGAGATCATCTGGCCTGGCCTTCTCCACCCCCACACCACTTCCTTCCTCGGAGCCTCTCTAGTGACCCTTGGAGAATGCAGGAAATCCTCTACTGTAAGCAAAGATACGGGGGTCTTTATGATCAGGGGTGCTGGCAGCTCAAGCTAATTGCAGCCAGGCCTGGTTCACTGCTGGGATTGGGAGTCTTAAAGCTTCTGTGTGGCTCCGCACATGGGGTGGAAACCAAGAAAGCAAAAAGCTTGCAACCAGTTCCGGAGAGGCACTGACAGCCACATGTGTGCAGCAGGAGCCTCTGGCAGAGCTCGAGGTTCAAATCAGATACACATGGCCCTGGTGGAGACCAGGGAGGCCAATTAAGGCTCAGAAGCCTTGACAGGAAGAGCTGGAGGGAAGGGGAGAAGGGGGGAGCAACAACAACTTGTTAATAATTAGCAGTCTAAAAAGTTAAAACAAAAAATGAAGTCCTAGGACAAATGAACACAAGGGAAGTCTCTGGCTGAGAAACCATCGAACAGGCACAATTCTGCCCAAGTAGTTAGCGAATGTGAAATTCCAACTCTCCTGACACGGAGGTCAAGGTGGACAGATCTTGTCTCTGTTTTACAGAACAGGGGGACAGTTGTGTCACGGATTTTGCTTTTCTTAGTTGCATTCCAGAAAGGATAACTCAGTTAGAAATCACTACGAATATTTTTTTTTTAAAGACCTAGTTAATGTACTGGATTCTTACTCTGAAAGTGTCCATCCTATCTGTACTTGTTCATGTTTATATAAAGAACTGTTGAAAAGACAGGCAAGAACCTAGTAAAAGCAATCTCTTGTGGAAGGGTCCTGGACCAGAAAGGTGGAGGAGCAATAGGTGGGTAAATGAATGTACAGCTTTTATTTGTCCCATTCAAGCCATGGAAATGTGATCATTCAACAATGAAAGCTATTCTTCTGAGTCCTGGTCTTGGTCCTCAACCTGCTGTGTTTAGGTCTGGAGACAGCATGAGCCTCACTATGCCTAGAACAACTGCAAGTCTGGATACTTGAAGTGGCCTCTCTCAAGGTCACTGTGAATATCAGGATCAACACTGGCATCAAACACTTATCTCCTGGCCACAGTTAGTGTTGGGCTCTCTCCAAAGCGATGGATGACCTGAATTCAGATTTAATGGAGATGTGAGACAAATTAGCAGTCTCATTTTCTTTCTCCTTCCTTTCCTGTTCCTCATAGCAAAGCCTGAGTGCCTACCCTCACACAGCTTAAGTCCAGTCCATCGCTCCAACAATTCTTGCCATGATGCTGGCTGGGGTCTTCTCCTCACTTCTCACCTCCTGTTCATGCACCATATTCTCCACCTTGTATCACTTCCTGCACAGAGTTTTTTATAACTGTGGCCCTGTGTGTGCTGTCACCTCTCTCCAGAATGCCTCTCTTCCTTTCCATCTGGTAATTCCTACTGACACTTCTGGGTCAAATGTCACTACCTCTTCAAGTCTTCTCCTCTGTAGAGCATGGGCAGCCTTTTGCCTGCACTCTGAAGGCAATTCGGATACTCTTCTATCACAGTCCTTCCCACAATACTCTGTGGCCTTATATCAACAACAATCAATCAATGACTGCAGTTTCTATGTCTGCCTGCTTGTTGACTATGAACTCTTCAAGGCAGAGCCTTTCATGACTGCCTCCACGCCATGCTATCTTCTCTGCCACTGTTGTATGCAATCCACACATAATTCATCTAACCTTCACCAAACATTTGTGCTATTTTATACAGCAAAGTACACCGAGGCTTAGAGATAGAAGTCACAAAGATAGTCAGGGCCAAACATTAAGACACTGAAGTCAGGGAGCCACCTGCAGAGCCCAGAGTTTTAAAAAGTGAGTAAGAATGTCTATTTATAAAAAAATAAATAAACAATTAGGGACAGGCTCATATTGCTAAGGTAAAGGTCTTCAAGATTGCCATTTCTAAAATCGCCAACCACTGGCCACACTGGAAATATGAACCAAGGGGGGCTGCTCTTAGAAACTGACATGAATGCATCAGTCCCAGGAGCCCTCATGGCACAGGACCCACTAGAACAAAAGAACCAGAGTGACATTAGGTCATCCAAAGCCATAGAAAATCCAGCTTCCCAAAGCCTTCCCCAGGGCCACCCAGCATCTCTCTCCCTGTTACAATGAAACGTGAGATCTTGAGGTCTGTCCTGATTCTCTACTTCTAAAACTACAACCCATATGAAAGAGGGAAGATTTATCCCCAGCTTGCCCTGACTGTGGTCTGTGGCTTCAGTTCCAAGACAGACACTTTCCTGGAACTGGGTGGAAACAGCCACCCAGCCATGAAGGTTGGCCTGTAGTCTCCATGCTTCTGAAGGCAGAAGGCCTGGCCTGCTCTGGGTGAAGCTGAGTCTGACTGTCACTGCTGGCTGATGGGCCCAGATCCTGGGACATACTAGGGCAGTTTGCAATACCTCCCTGGAGCCTATCTTTCCACTCTTTTCTCAAACCTGCTTGGAGTGGTTCTCAGGGAAGAACAGTTGACTCTGGCCTTTCAATGGGAAGCAAAAAATGAGTGGGGTGGGAATCTCCACCTCAGGGTAACTGAGAAGGAGAATGAGTCTCCAGGGAGACACAGTGGAAGTAGACTTGGGCTTAGGAGCAAAGGCCTCAGTGCCAATACTAACTCAGTGGTGCAGAACAACTTATTTACCGTATATGAGTCACATCTGCAGAGGAGCTTAACAGCTTCCTCGTGTGCTGGGAGGAACAAATGAAATATTATGTACAAAAGGGTTTAGTAATCTAAACAGCATTTCCAGCCTGGTTCATTGTCAGAACTGCCAAAGGGTTTTTTTTTTTTAATTTAATTATAGATTGCTGGATTCCGTCTTAAGAGCTTGCTCAATTAAAATCTCCGCAGAAGGCTTCAGGAACTCATATTTCAGAAACTTCTTGGGTGCTCTTGAGAAACTGTCACAATTCTAAAACACTACACAGAGTTGACACAGACGTGATTCTGTGGTGAATTCCTAGGCCTGAGTATCATGCCTGAAGGGCAGCACCTAGGGTTGCATGACTTAGAGACAGAACATTTCTGAAGGAGGCAACTCTCTTGTGGTCATGGAGAAAAGAAGCCCCACAGACTTGGAGCACAGATAAAGAACTGTATAGGCGGCTCCTACTGCCACTGTGGATTCTCCTAGACAAAGAACACACACTATTCTTCCATTCCCTCCATCCCCACCACCCCGAGCCTACACAGCCAAAGACAATCACCAAGCCTGGAGAGCAGGAAGGACACATACCAATGGTCAAGGGAGATCCAATGAAGAAATGAAGCTGCACAAGGCCAAGAAGTGAGAGTGAGGGTCCTACAGGGCTGCCAACTGACAGCAGGCTTCAGCTAGTCCCAGCTTTCACTGCCCCTCTGACTTCACCTGTAAAATGTTGCTGAAGCTTGTCTACAACAGGAAGCTTCCAGAGCAAAGGAAATAACAGACATAAAGGGTTGCAGGACACTTGCAAAGGCCATGCACACCCAATGCAACAGTGTGTGTGTGTGTGTGTGTGTGTGTGTGTGTGTGTGTGTGTGTGTGTGTGTTCTTTATATTTGTGCTGTATGCCGGTATATGGGTATGTGTGCAAATGTGCGGAATTCCAAAGTTGATGTTGAGTGTCTTCTTGTGTTGCTGTTCCTCTTATTAGCATTGGGTCTGAGCCTGGAGTTTGAACCTGGAGTTTGCCATTTCAACTACTTCAGCTAGCCAGCTAGCCCATTTCAGCCAGTTTCAGCTAATTCCAAAGAGTCCCAATCTCTGCTTCTCAAGCATGGAGACCCCAGGCAAGCCACTATATCCACCAGCTTTTACCCATCAAGCCACTGGGGATCTGAACTCTGGTCCTTGAACTTGCATGGGAAGTACTTTAATCACTGAGTTGCCCCCTCAGCTCCACAATGTAACCTTTTGCTCTTTAAAAGTCAACTATGCTAAAGAGGTACTCAGTCAACAGCGAGGTTTGCTACCATATCTGAAGTGCTGGACTGGACCCTCAGGCCTCCATAAACCCAACAGGGTTCCATATGCTTATAATTCCAGCATTTAGGAAGTAGAGGCAGGAAGATCAGAAGTTCAAGGTCATCCTTGGCTTCTTAGGGAGCTCCAGGCCAGCCAGGGCTACAAGACACCCTGTCTCCCTAACAAAAACAAATGCAAAGTGTACTGAGTAATGAACCCTAACCCAGAAAAAAGCCTTCTGCAAAGAACTAAACGTCAACAACTTGTCTGTCCACACAGAACACTGTAAGAATGCCATTCTGTGACTCTCGAGGGGAAAAAGTCACCCTTTCCTAAGACATCCTAAAGAAGGGAGAAGAATGCTTCCAAATGATACCCAGATTAGATAAGGGTATGCTTTGAGATTTGCAGATGTGCCACTGAATCTAAGAGTTAATGCTGAGAAATTTGGAAAAGTGTTTAAAGGGAGCGAATTGACTCGGGCAGGAAGGGAAGCCATTGTGGAAGACCTTTCTGAACCACTAAGTAGCAAACGTAGCTCCCACCTCCCACCCACGCACCACTGGAAATAACTTTAAGTAACACACATGAGAATGTCTGCTGAACAGGAGGTCTGGATCTGGGTCTTTTAAAAGGATAGTGTTCCAACCAGGACCCTTTGGGGGAAATCACCTTGGGAACCACTGAACTCTTAGGCCAGTTCACTCTGCCAAACATCCTTAGGAAGCTTTGAGCTAGAGCAAAATCCTGCTATACAGTAAATACTATGACCTG